CCTAGTTGCTGATGTACATCCGACAATGATGGACCCGCCAGTGATCACATTGATCACTCCACGGACTGGCCTTTCCTCTGGCAGTTATCGAGGTGGCTGCTCATTCTATCTACTGGTCATGGGGCCATTCCTCCTCTGGTCCCCCTGTCGGTCTGCTTGTCCCCTCTCTTCTCGCAGTATGTAATTCTTTAGGTACCCGCGACGGATAAGTTCCTCGATCTCATCGCGGAGATTCCTGCAATTCTCTATGCTATGTCCATGATCTCGGTGGAATGGCAATAGACATTTGGGTTTCTTGTTGCTGGGTCTCCCCTTAACCTGGGAGGCCATTTAACGAAGGAGGAATCCTTAATAGCCATTAAGATCTCTCCTCACTTAGCATTCAAAGGCGAATAGTTTGTTCTCTCCACGGGCGGGGTCCTGGAATGCCGACCTGTCTTGTGCCCGCGCGAAGGGGACCGGCTTTTTGACTTGCTTCTTCCCTTGCTTGGGGATTTGCTCTTTTTTCTTTTCTTCCCACCTTTGCTCGTCCCTTCATTTTCTCTTTTCCTCTTTTTCGCTGGTGGATTGTCAATCTTTTGGTTGATCTCCTCCTCGGTACCGATGAACTGATTTGCTAACTTAAGGAACTCAGTGATATCTTTTGGTTTGTTGGTTATCATGTGCCACTTGAACTCTTTATGGGTGATTCCTTTCTTTGCCGTAGTGAGTCGCACCGTTGGATCAAGGTTCGATATCTGCAGGCAAGTATCGTTGAAGCGCTTTATCTAGTTTGTTGGCTTTTTTGCGACTTCGGGCATTTCTTGCTGGTAATGAAATGCGCAGTAAACAGATTGGCAAATTGTGACCAGCCTTTGATGGAACCCGACGCGAGGTTCCAATACCAGGTTCGGACTACCCCCCCGAACATAGTGGAGAAGGCCACACACATGTAGGATTTGTCTGCCCCAGCTAGGTACATCTGAGAGTGGAATGAATCCACATGATCGTTGGGGTCAAACGACCCGTCATACTTATCTAATGAGGGTACCTTGAAGTCTCTTGGCATTGGGGTTGCTAGGAGCTCGGGAGACAGAGGAGATAACCGGCAAAGCAATGGAGGCGCAATCTTCATTGCCACCGAGCTCACTTCTTCCTTTTCTTTAGCTCGCTCTACTTGTTGTCTTGGCTTTGTTGGCGGATTGTTTCTGGCTAAGGAGCGACGTGTCTTGTGGTGTCGCCGTTGCTACTTCTTCACTGGCTCATGGTTGGTGCTGCTGACTTCGGTCTGATCTGGTATCTCGGCATCATTATGAACATTGTCGTGAGGTGGATCCTAGTTTCTTCTTGCCGAGTTCTCCTGGTTATGGAGTTCGCATCGGCTAACACGTGTCATCGAGGGGTCCTATCTCGAGTTCGCACCTCGAACTCCGAGTTGGTTGTTATCTCCTCGCAATCCGTTGTTTTCCTACTAGGAGTGCCGCACCGGATTGGCCCTGTTTAGCTGACTATCCTTGGGCATGTTTCTAAATTTTCCTTGTGAGACTGGAGGAGTGTGTAGACCGTCTCTCCTTCCACGGGGTGAAACCTGACCCCTGGGAGGAACCGACATCTGCGAGGTCCCCTCACTCCGATGGGGGGATCTGTGAGTGTTGTAGCTAGTTCCAGGCCGATTCTGGTTCTGGCCCTGGCGCAACCCTGGGTGCCGGGGTGGAATTGGCTGCTGGTTCGACTATAGTGATGGGAACTACTACTGATACTGCTGGTATAGGTAGTATTGCTGATATTGTTGGAACTGTTGGACATGCTGCATCTATATCTGTATTGTGCGGATGCATTGAACGAGGTCATGGAATTGGGAGTGATCGATCCCAGGGGGGACCACAGATGGCTCAGAGAAAGTTATGCCCACTGGGGGAAGCGGGACGCTCACTTGCGTAGTGCCCTGCGATACGGACAGTGGCGGGACCCCTGAAGCTGTAAGGGGAATAGTAAACTGGCCAATGCATACCGTGGGACGTTGGGGGAAGGTTGATTGCTAGTCTTGCCCCCTGGTGACGTTCATCTTGATGCTTTTCCCGGTGTTGCTGGAAGAATCAATTGAGATAAATCGAAAGCTAGAACTACAATTGAAATTGGGATGACCTTTTGATCGGTTCCCACAGATGGCGCCAATTGATGGTGCGCGATCTAGATACTCCTAGCTGGAAGATGATCCGAACACCAATTGCATGGCGAGCTGGACCAAGCTGCAAGATAATAGATCAGAGAACCCGGGGTGGCTAACCCGATGAGGTCACTTTGATGCTTAAGTCAGTACTATATTATGGATGTGAGCTGAATACTTGAATGCTTGAGTGATAGTGAGTAAATAATCACGCGTACCTTTGCCTTGGGGTTTGATGTCCATATATAGTGGAGTAGTCATGGATCTTATGAAAAAGCTTCGGGATCTCTGGGCTGCGTAGATAATATCTGTTCTATTTTTGAAGGAGAGTAATGTGTTAATTGATAAGGTTTATCATTTTCCTCCGATTCAGGCGGAGTGAGGATGAGTCCCGTCGTGATCCCGAGAAATTTGGGGTCCGTTGGGGTGGCTTCTGGAGTCGATTATGTGGTGCTTCGGCTCTTTAGCTCCGAACTGGTACTTCGGTTCTTTAGCCCCGAACTGGATTGGGTGTCTAGGTGCCTTTATGCTGAGGTGGTTTTGGACCGAGGTGACTAAATACCCGAGCTCTAATTGTTGCGGACTGGGTTCCTTTGGCTGAGTTGTCACCCCTCGAGCAGATCGCATCCACGTGACCTCTTTTTACTAAGTCGTGCCAAATCACCCTTCATCAGGGTGCATTCTCTTGAGCTTACATCCTATGGACCCTTCGGTCCAACTTTTACATGAACCCTCCAATAAAAGTTTGCCACATACGCCAAGAGCTTCGAATGCAAAAAGTAAAGATAATTCACATTTAACGCCATTTGGACTCCAAATCCAAATCCAATTTAGTTTAAACTCTCTCTCTCCCTCTCATTCTTCCCTCTTCTTCTCCCATCAAGCTGTCAAGGGTTTTGTTATTCTCACAGCCCAAGAGCTGGGTGTTTGTCATTGAGAAGTTTAGCATCTTTGAGGAAAAGATAGTAGGATCATACAATAGGTCGCAGTTTCTAACATTCCAAACCTGAACCAGATTTGGGTTCAACCCAGAATTTCTGGATACTTATTGCACGATATGCTGGGAGAAGTCTTGTGTATGGTGGCCTTTGAGTTTGTGCTTTGCTGAACTTCTCTATACTAGTCATTGTGGAGTTGAAACATTCTGAATCAGATCTGTCAGACATGAATGGAGAGAGATATGTAGGAGGTGATCATGGGTAGAGGAATTTGGAACCACTGGGGTTTATTTGGATGTGTTTAAGAAATTTGGCTTGAATGAAGAGAATGTGACAAGGATAGCAAGAACATTAGGCTCAGTTTGGAAGGAGTTTAAATGCAAATTTGTAAAGTGCAAATATACAAAATACAAGGTTTTACATTCTACAAATTTGCATTTATACTCTTTGGAGCCAAACTGAGCCATAGTTGCAGGGATCCAACTCAACTAATCTACGTTTCTGCACCGTGAACTTTTAACTATTTGGGTTTTAAAGCACAAGCAAAAAAGGAGATCATTTTGGCAGTTTTGGAGAGAGAACAGCCTAGGCTGTTTTGGGAGTCTCTGCATATGACACCTCAGTGAATTCAGGTCCTCATTTGTCTTTTCAATTAAAAGAATGTCGAGTGTAAATACTGTTTTACTCACATTCATGTTTAAATGTCATTCACAGCAGGCTACCAAAACAGCCCAGGCTGCTGAGCCCACCTTGAGATTATGGATTTAGTAAACTAGTCTAATTGTTAGCTTTTAATTCATGGCCGTTTAGGTCATGGGAATAGGGGTCTGGAATCGGAATGGTTTATGATTTTATTCTGATTCCAACTGTACTTTGGTTGCGCAATCCCATTTTCATTTTTGGTGGAATAGTATTCCCCATTTGAGGGGATGGCCATTCTCTCTTCATTCCTTATGAATGACATCCCATTTAAGTTGATTATAATTCCTATTTCAATTCATCAATACATTATGGGAATAGAGCTTTCCAATTCCGATTCTGGTTTTGGTTTTGACTATGAATGAAATGGACTCTTAGGGTCCGTTTGGTTTGTAATTGGAATTGGAATCGAAATCCTTTAGAATCGGAATTGGAATAGTCCATTCCCATATTCTGTTTGGTTCAGATAGAAATGAGAATGGAAATTAAAATCAGTAGGAATGGGATTTCATTTCCAAGGGAGGGGCAGAGAATGGCCATTCCCTCAAATGGGGGAATGCCATTCCAGCAGGAATGAGAATGGGATTTCGATTCCACCCAACCAAACAGTTGGAATCGGAATAGTCCATTCCGATTTCGATTTCAGACCCCTATTCCTGCAAACCAAACAAACCCTTAATTTTCTTTCAAATTTATAAGATGTTTATAGAAAAATGGGCATTACCCAAGTTTTAGAACATTGCACCATGGTTTTCAAAACCGGATTGGACCAGGACGGTCACCTGACTGGTTTCGTTTTCCCCCAAAACCGTTTTTTTCCCCAAAACCGTTGATTTTGGTCAACAAACCGCTGAACCGATTGGTTAATTGTTCAAACGGTTTTGATTGTTTTCCAATTATTTTAATTTTTTTGTCAGAATGGGCCGACCATTCAGGTTGAACGGTCGGACCATTCGAACCAGTAACCGGACCCCTAACCGGTTCGGTCACCGGTTCATTTTTAAAAACCATGTATTGCATTGTGTACCTGAAGTTTTTTTTTCTTTGTTGAGGATGAGTATGGGTGAAGAGCCTATACTTTATTTGTAGCCAATTTTTATCTTTATTAATTAAAAAAATATAGAGAGCACATATGGGCTGTGAGATACATAATCCTTCAAAGAATAAGAAAAGAAGGAGAAGAAGAGTCGACATAATCAATAACAAAAATTAATTGATACAAGCAAATTAATTAATTGTCTAGGCGAAGCCTTGGTCTATAGAGGTGAATTGAACGCCCATTAATTGGTTGCACTGGTCTGGCATTATTTTCTGCATCCTTCAGCAAATTAATCAAAGTAATTAAGTTGAGTTTTATATATGTTGCATCAACACAATAAGCAGATTAGTATAATTAATGCTAGCTTGTTTTGGTGCATATATGGACTTAATTATCTATATCCACGCTCTCTGCTACAACCTGTCTGTATTTGCTCAAAGAATTAATTCTACAAAACAACGACCTTATGCAACTCCTCCATAAAAGGCACTTCACATATATCTATTGGGTCCGGCATTTTCTGTAGTGAGAATTAGAAATGCAAGAGCGTTGCATATGAATGCTGTATGCATATATATTGTGTCTTTGATTAATTCCTGGCATGCATTTCGATATCCTAGTGTGTGTATCTATCAGTAGGGATAAGTAGCTACTCACATCATCAACAGCCTCTCGCAGCAACCGCACTTGTTCTCTTGAAACCGTCCTAACCTGATGAAAACAAAGATTGTAATAATATAGAAATTAATGAAATGGTTAGAATGAACAAGTTAATTAGCCACATATAGAGTAAGTAATAGAGAGTGGAATGATGAATATATATAGGAGACATACCTTTCTCACAATGGTCCAAACCACGTCTTGAGTGCAAGGAGGAACTGTGAGGGAGCCCATGTATCTGTAATACTTCCTACTACCTAGCTTTATATTCTTTGGGTCAACCACACCCACAACTGTCTCCTTTTCTTTTGTTTCAGCTATGCTATTTATGTATCCCATTATCTGATCATAACAGACAGAAAGCAGTTTACCTTAGAGAAAGAGAGAGAGAGAAAGATTTTCTTATTGTATTGGGTACAGTTTACCTTAGATAGAAACGTATCAGGTCGTCCGATTTTGTACATAATTCCAACCACAGAAGTCTTGTTGTCGGAGATGCTTTGGTGAACCATGTGCACTTCTAGGTCGAACCTGTAAAAATGTAATTAAATTGAGAGTCGTATTTCCACTTCTGTTCTGTTCCGACTATGGACTAGAAACATCTGCCATACCAAATATGAAAACGTTCATATATATATATATATATATATATATGGTCAATTTGCCTTCAACCCATTTGATGGTTATTAAGCATCTATATGGATTGAATCTTTGTTTACAGATTCAATCAGTAAATAAATGGATATACAAGTTAATTAGTTTTGGTAGAGATAAAAAAAATTTGATTCAGTCCATGTAAAATCCGTTTAAACACCCATTATAGCCTTGCATTGAAAATATCTCTCCATGAAATAAAACACAGAAATACAGAAATGCTCCTAATGCTGGAAACTGTTCGAACGATATTTGAACCGAAGCCGATCTCGAGATAGAGAGGATAAGAAAATCACCTCTTTCCATTAATGGTGTGCTCAGATGGTGAGTGCCAGTGGCACTGTTGGAGCACATATTGAGTACCGTTGATTTCAATCCATCCTGCGCCATCCACCCACTTCAACTGCAGCATAACCCAAAGAAAATAGGCAAAAGAAAAAAAAATCATTATTATTTATTACTATTATCTGCAGACCCCTTAATTAAGATTAATAATTCAAAAAAGTGTAACTGAGAAATTGGAAAAAATATTACTTTTGTATAGAATAAAGTCTTCATATCGGAATGGTCGTGTTAGGTTAAATAATTTGGATTCCTTCACGCTTTAATATATAATAAAATCTGTACAAGTATTCTTGATAAAGTAGGTCGGTCCAACCAAACTCCATGGTGGTTGGTTGAAAAACTCAAACCCAGAAGAAGATAGTCAAGGCCTGTTTTGGGTAGCTGGAGATGATAGATTAATTGCGTACGTGTTTGCTTCTTATTTGTGATTTTGATGGTTTGTCTCCATGTGCATATATGATGATTTACACCTACTAAACAAAATAATATTTATATTTCTCTTCCAAACCTTTTTATTCACAAGTTTTAATTTTCTTTGTACTCTGCTACTTTTTGGCCGTACCAATGGAAAAAATGATGAAAAATGTCGATTCTAATTTATGATCTCACCAAACAATATGACGAGCATTGGGAGAAAGAACAATTTGAAGGCTGTGTTTGGAATTGGCGTAAATCAAGAATGATGTAAATATTTATATTGTTGGATTTTATTGATCAACATAAAATTGTACTCCGATCAACATAAAATTCTACTCCGATTTAGTTTTACGTGCATTTAAATAGAGTGAAGTTTTATGTTATAAATCAGTGTAAGATGTCATCAATGTAAAGTTATACATCGATTATCAATGTAAAACTTTACACTGATCACATCACACTTTTCAAAAATACAATAGTCACTAATCACAGTTTAGTGTAAAACATCATGGGTGTACTTTTTACACCAAGATCCTAAGAGGACAGAAACATGTACAATAGAGCTGTAAATCTTGTACTCTTGGGCTCTGAATGTTCTACCCCAAGATCCTAAGAGGAGTTTGGGTTAAAGAGATTTCATAAGTACTTAATAAAATGCATATAAAGAAATAAGGGTCTGTTTCGTTTGCAAACAGAATGGGAATTGAAATCAAAATCAAAATTTTTTTAGAATTGAAATTGAAATGATCTATTCCTGTGATCTGTATGATTCAAACAGGAAATTGAAATGCTATTTGATTCCCAAAGGAAGGGGAGGGAATGGCCATTCCACCAGAAATGGGAATGAAGTTCCTATTCCACCCAACCAAATAGTTGAAATTGGAATGGCTGATTCGGATTCTCATTCCATACCCCTATTCCCACGAACCAAATGGGCCCTAAGTTAATTTCCTTACCATTATGTCATGGCCTCTATTCTTAATGGTTGCATTGGAAGGCCTATAATTCCTCTTAAGTCTCCCCAAATGTGACACTATCTGCACCCTCTTATTCAAGAGATCAATTGGAGACTGCATTTCTCCATTCTTGCACAAGGCCCATTCAGGATGAATTTCTCCCCATTGTTCTGGTCCTTTACCACTCCCTTCAACATAATCAAATTCCTGCTCGTCCTCTGCAAGCACCACAAATCAAAAAGGTTAATTAGCTACACATATCAAACACTAAATGGCATTAGGTTTTCTCCAGGCTCAACAATGTCTCACCAACTTCCTGAGATGTGGTTGGGCCTGAATGCAAGATAAAAACAAGGAGGAAGACAGAAGGTAAGATCTGGATCCTTAGCTTCTCCATATTCCACTCCCTAGGATTTGATTTGCAGAGAGAAACTTTCATGATATAAGCCTTATATAGCTCATGAACCATCTTAAAATCAGAACTACATGATGTAATGAAGATTGTATTTTCGCATTCCAAGCTTCTAGCTTTTCAACTAGCTCGTGTGAATAGCTTGAATCCATAAAAAGCTTGCCCCCCAAGAGTCTAACTGCTTAGATTAATAGATTAATTAAACAATATAAAGATGACCCCAACTGGTCTTCTTTCCAAAACTTTTTAATTTAGAATTCAGCCCATTTGACACATGTCCATGGTGACGTTGCTTTGTTTCTGGAACAAAATCCAGATTGTCTGTAATCATCTAAAATATATATATATATATATATATATATATTACTCATTTAATTTATAGAGATCTGAGAAGACCCCTTTGGAGATATCCAGAAATTTCGACTAAGTTATGAGAAGACTGTGTTTGTTTGAAGCTGCCTGTAGTTGTCGCCTCTCCTGTTTTGAGAAATCTCTGTCATGTCTATATTAAATAATGTTTCGATGACACAATTTGGTTGAAAATTTGGTGTTGTGTCTGTTGGCTGATGCTTACAGCGAAGAAAATTACATCAGATTAGATAGGATGAAATTCATTCAAATATGTTGTTGAAATTAAATACAACACATGCATAAAGAAAGGAGTTGCTTGTGTCCAAGCTGCAGGGGACCCAACAATCGTTTCCTATTTCATATCTTCATGTTCAGAGTCTTTAGACAATCTTCGTGTCTTGACCAAAAATTGTCATGTTTGGCCGATTCTCGGCTTTTTAAGAGTTTCCATGAACCCTTTCCACCTTCTAAATATAAAAAAAAATGGGTTAAAAAATAAACACAATAGGAACACCCATTTACTATTTGACTATTTGACCAAGTGGCCTAAGTATATGATTCTAGTTCCTCCATTATAATTAATTAAATTTTGTCACAAGGGGTACGGGTGGTTCTGTGCTTGTTCACACTTTAAGTTTGATGGACTTTTGTATGAGGGGGCATGTTAGAGAATAAGAACCGAATTAGGAATCTTATCAAACAATTTAAGCTTTTAGGTTGAATGGTTCCTTGAGACCCAAACCAATTTAATTATGGGTTCTGTAGCCCAGACACAATTTATGCTCATGCAGAAACATATTATTCTAATGAACCTATTTAACTTAAAAGTAATTTTTTTATAATAACCTGTTCAAGGACCTCGCTTAATAGCTTAAGCTTTTAGGTTGAATAGTTCATTGAGACTTGAATCAGTTGAATTTTGGGTTTTATAGCTCAAATCCAACTTTTGCTCATAGAGAAATAGGCTATTTCAATGAATATATATACCTTCAAAAATAATTTCGCTATTGTTGTGTCGGGCCTTGAATTCCAGTTGTAATATTGTTCTATGATCCAATTAACCCGAACAAAATAAAGAAAAACTTAAAGGCAAAATTTCATAGTGATTTATGGTAAATGCGAAGGCCTTGGGCCAACATATTTGGATGTCATATACACGTGGATCTTGCAGCATAACTAAACTCCCAGGACTCCGGACTCCGGACTCATAGTAGCCTGGTGTCATTTGCTGAACTTACAGCCGGGACTCATTGATCTCATGATCGTTTTTCTTGCTAGCTAGACTCACAAGTGTGATTTTACGAGAGGTGCAAGATCAGTTTCTTAATAGTTTATGTGGCCAATCTGGTTTAGGGGTTTTATCATATAAATAGCTTTGTGCCTTGAACAGAAAATCATCTTGTATTTTGGGGTCCAAGAGAGAATAGGAGACTGAGAAATAGGGGAGAGTCAACTTCAGGTGTATTGGGAGATAGGGCTTTGGCGAGAAGTTGTGAATACTATAACTGTAAATCCCCATTGTTGAATAGGTTATAAGCCAAACCATGCAAATCCTTTTTTCTTCCCATTCTCTAACTTTCCAATCGGTTTTAATTCTTGGATTTGTTAGAATCCCTACAACCACCATTTCTCTTATCAATTTCACCTTTGATTCCATGTGGCTAACAAAGAAATTGCCATTCTATTTGTGATCATAATGTTGTTTTAATGAAACCATGTTCTTCATGAAAATAACTATATTTGGTTTTATAGAAAATAGGAGAGAAGTAGAAAATTGAGCAAAGTTAGTAAGGCTGTGTTTGGTTGCAATGCAAATAAATTTGCACTGATACAAAACAAAATAAAGTAAAATCCAAAATAAAATTAAACAAGTATTTACATTTACACTCCCATGCATTTCTACAAATTTGCACTGCAACCAACCACAACTTAAGAATTTTCACAAAATTTCATCAACAAGAGTTAATGAACTTTTCTCTTACTACCAAGAAAGTTGTATAATTATTATAATAATAGACTTAAGAACATTACTTGCATTGTTTATGCCAAATTCTCCCAAGCCCCACAAGCTTCAGACACAAAACCGAGAAAACTAGTGGTGGAGTTTGGTATCATTGCCGTTTCCTTAAAGACATTTGCTAGAAAATGACCATGAAATGGTAGCTCATTTTCTCGAAAAATGGTGATGTATCTTGTTAGTGGTGTTGCTGCCCCTTAAGTAGAAGCAAGAACACTAAATAGCATTTCTTGTTTGGCAAGGCGTTTTTTACCACCATTTTTCCAAAAACAGCTGCCACATTTCATAAAAAAAAAAAAAAAAATCATCAAGAAGAGCATTTTCACAGGAGGTAGGTTTTGTGATTTCTCAGATGAGGCATTTTCCTAGTGTTTTTTTTTTATGGAAAATTTCTTAAACTACCCCTATTGTGGCTAACTATACCTTTACTGTTTATATATTATCTTAAAGTATCCCTACTGTTTCTAACAATTGACATTGTTTTAAGTGCTAGTGAAAAAACAAAATGTCAAATTTATCCTCTACTATTTCTTAAATTTTCAAAATAAAATCCAATTGATAAAAAATTTACCATCCCCTCTTCCCTTCCATCTTTCTTTCTTTCTTTCCCCTTGTAAGACCTATGTTCATTAATGAATTTGTGCCATTCTTTGATGGTTTAGAGGTCAAAGAACCGTGCTGGAGGGAGAGGAGAGGTGCCAATATATACAGGCAAAGTTGAAGTTTTTTGGGAGCGGTATTTTCATTTCTTTGGCATATTTATCATGGACGACAATGACGCAGCACCAGATCAGCTTTCCGTAGCTAACAGACTACCAGTCGGACTCCAAACCATCTGCACTTTTTTCTCAACATTAATCCTACATTTGCATTCATCTTGTGACAGGTGCCCATTAGTGACACATAGTAGATTGATCTCATGCATCATCAATCCGTCATTTTGACTCGGTTTTGAAGGAGTATAAATACAAATATGTAGAGTGTAAAATCTTATATTTTGTATATATTTGTATAGTACATATTTATATTTATATTCTTTCCAAACTTGTTTTTTATAACTTGTGCCCTCCTCTTTCTTATTGTCCCTTTCCTTTTCTCTCTCATCCCCTTTTGTGATCATGTCTGTTCAAGTGATGTCAGAGAAAACAGTACTACTCCAAGGAACCCATGTCTTGGGTTAAGAAAACAACTCTCTCTCCTCCACTAGACGGCTGGAGGGTAAAGTTGCAATCGTGACCGGAGGTGCTAGAGGGATCAGAGAAGCGACGATGAGGCTCTTTGCAAGACAAGGTGCCAAGGTGGTCATTGCCGACGTTAAGGATGAGTTGAGAATTGTTCTTGCTAGCTCCTTAGCCCCATCTGTGACTTATGTTCATTGTGATGTTAGCCTGGAAAAGATGTTGACAAGTTTCTAAATTCCACGGTTTCACCACACGGCCATCTTGACATCCTCTTCAACAAATCACAAAAACATCAACTTTGATGCAGATGAATTTTGACCTCGTATGGGCACCTCGATTGGATGAGGTGTCGATTAGTTGAAGATACTCGAGGAGAATCCGGAGATTCCATTAGCCCCAATTCTGTTTCAAGTTCCAATTCCATCGTCAGTCTGAAATCTGAAAGCATAATTGATAATTCAGATACATAATTATACGCTCGAAATCGAAGTTCCCCTCCTGTGTTCGGATATTTCTTGTCGTTTTCTACAAATTCTTTTTGGTTAATGGTATTTGATTTGGGCAGAGAGTCAGCCTGCTGTAATGGGACTGATATTCGATTACTGCCTCTTTTCTGTAATAGGACTGATATTCGATTACATTCTGGGGGAATTGGGATTGATGTTTAGTTCTACCAAGTGGGTGTGGCCGGCAGGACCAAAGAGAGTTGAGGCATACTTTTGAGGTTGGAGTAGCATTTGATTTATTCGGTTAAAAATCGAATAGAATAAATCAAATTTTTAAAAATCGAATTTATAAAATATAAAACTGAACTGAAACCGAATTATTAAAAAATGAAACTGAATTTTTCGGTTTGGTTTTCCATTTTTTTGGTTTAAACCGAATTTTATTAATGTTATAGTAATACATACTATATATTATATATATTAATATATTTATGTATATGTTAATGTATTTTATATATTTTAATATTTTATATAATATATATTATATACATATTATAATATAATATATTATGTTTTACATATTAATAATATATATTATATTATGTATATAATAAATTTCGGTTAATTCAGATTTTTGATTAATCGAATTTCCAATCCTGAAAACCGAAACCGAAACCAAATTTTTTTATAATTGAATTAATCGAACCGAAAAGACCAAAATAAAAAATTTCGGTTTGGTTTTTCGGATTTAACTGAACAACACACACCCCTAAGTATCACTGCTGCTATCATTTTTACTCGGCTTACATAAGAAGTAGTTTTGCTATCATTTTTACATAAGAGGGATGGAGGGTAATATTGGGTTTTAAAAAAATTATACATCACATGGTGTCATGTGTATGGATTTTGATGGGACATTAACAGATCCTAAAGCTAGGGGTAGAGAGAGTCAATTGTCAGAAAACTTATTGATACTTTAAGACAATATGTAAACAGTAAGGGTAAGGTTAGTCAATTAACTAAATAGTAAAGATAGTTTAAAAAATTTATCATTTTTTTAAGTACCCAACCAAATGAGTTTTTTTTTTTTTTTAACTATTGAGGT